TTCTACGTATTTTCAGAAGAAAATGTTTTACTTTAATTTTTCAAATGATTCAATATTTTTGTTCGAAAAAAATTGTTCAAAAAATTTCATACATAAAAATTTTAAATATTAAAAATAAAACTTTTGAACTTAAAAAATAAAGTGCAAATTCTAGAGCTGTACTATTTTTTCATGCATTGCAATCACCAGGTTAAAAAACGGAACTCGCGCCCCAGAGAAAAATTTCAAGTAAGATAAGATACCAGGAACATGGAAAAAATGTTTAAAAAATTCTCTGCCAAAAAATTTTGACATATATTTTTTGACATTTGACATTTTTTATGTCTATTTAATTATACTGATGAACTTGTATATTTTTTTTACAATTATTTAGTAAAGGTACAAAAATTTTGCCAATAAAAGCCACAACTAACATTAAACAAAGTTACAATTTAGAATACAGCTTTCTTGTTTCCTCTTCTAATAGCCTGTAGCAAAAAAACTTGGAAAATTATTTTTCCAACAGAAATAAATAGAGTCAAAGTGCAAAATTTAAACTCTCATAACTTCGAAACTTTTGTAGATATTTTTTTTTAACATTTTTCTCTGGGGCGCAAGTTCTGGCGCACCCTGTATAGAGTGATTCAAAAAGACTGTACCATGGCTTGAGTGGTTGTTAGAGTAATTTTTTTAAATCCAAAATTGTAAACAAAAAATGCATACAAACATTTCTCAGAAAAAAACAATTTTTCAAAAATGTAATTTTGACATTATTTTTTATTAATTAAAAAAGAAAATTTGTTGGTTATTAGTAAGGGACCTTAAAATAAATATATGTATGCATTTACATATTAAAATATAAATAAACCTTAAAATTAACAGAAAAAAATTAGTCAAAATGTTAAGATTTTTTGAAAAAGTAATGTAATCAACATAGAAAATGTGTTGTCTTTAATATGTTTATGGCCTCTATGGCCACGTAGCAATAAATAACGTGCATCTATGGTATTAAATGTTTTAAATTAAGTACAAGGCACCTAATTTAAGATGTAGGTAAAGTGCGTGGTCTTTTTGTGATATTGTAAAAAAAAAAATTAAAGCATATCTGCGCATTTGTTTTCTATGTTTTCTATCACCACACGAGTGATGGTCCAATTTTTTTGAATTCACCTGTATTTTCTTTTTAACATCGAATTCATACACCTCCAGTCATTTTTCAAAAATAATTTTGTGTACTGTGGCATAGAAAAAAAGAATTATTACTTAATAATAATAAAAAAAAGGTAGGTACCTACTAAAGGAATTATTTTGATTAAATTTCATTAGTTTCAAATTAAACAATATAAAATTGTACGTTATAATATAAATTATAATAAACTAAAAAACAATGCAAAAGTAGAAACCTACTCACCAACGTTAAAAAAGGTAGATATCTAATATACAGGATCACTAAAAAAGATGGAATCACCTAAATATTTTGTTAAATTGTATTAAAATTATTAACACGGTAAAAAGTTCTATATTTTTCAAATTTCTATTATTTGTTTGAGAGACAACTTGATTTTTAATAGCATTAGATAGAGATTCACAATTTTATTTGGCCCTAATTGTTCATACTTTTTTTGACAGAACCCTAGATGGCTATTTTGATAACTGAAGCTAAAACTAAAAAAAATATTTTACGTTAGACTCGAAAAAAGAACAAATTATAAATGAAAAATAATTATTATAAGTATTGCAAAACATTTATTTGTAACAAAAAATACAATGTACTCGTAACTATTTAATGTAATGAATGAATTTTTTTCACATATTTTCTTATAATCGCACTAAAATTAGGCTGATGATAATGAACGCGAAGATCTGGAGCTGATTTGTTGAGTTTTTTGTTTTGTTTTGAGTTTTGTTGTTATGAGTCTTTTCTAGGAACATTTTATTCAACTCTTGGACAGACTGGGGAACCCTTGTGACTCTTTCATGGAACCCCCAGGGTTTCGCGGAGCACCTTTTAGGAATCGCTGGCATAAGGAGTCAAATTAAGTATTTAAACATTTCTGATTTCAATCAGTAACGTAAGTTTGATTAAGTAATAGAAAATTTCAAAACAATTTTATAAACCGTTAAAAAATATTTAGCTGTATCTACCTATATTTTAGCGACTCTGTAAACCCCTTCGATTTAAATAAATAAGTTATTTGTATAAAGATTTTTACATTGACTATTGCAATTTTTATGTTATTATTTTTTCTTAAATATTACATAAAATATTTATAATAATTTTTAATAATAATTTTAAATAAGTTGTATGTTTTGTTATTTAGCTTTACGCATGCACTTACCTGTTCTGGGGAAAATCCAATCGATTTTTTTCCATACGAATCCACATTGTTCAAATGAATACTGTTATTATCCATACTTTTCTTATTAAAAAAATCAATTAAATTTTTCCTGTTTTCAGAATTTACATCAACTTTCTTATTATAATTAGCAACAGACAATGAAACTCTTTTATTAACATCATCCGATTTACTTTTAAGCACATTGTTGTTACCACTAAAATCGTCCTTTTTATAACAGTTGAATTTTCTAGCTACTTTTTCATTTTCACCATTCTTCCTCGCCGACTTATCACTATTAAAAAATGAATCTAATTTCCCATTTGTAGTAAAAAACAAATTTTCGTTATAATAATTCAAATTGGGGCAAAAATTTCCATTATTTGAATCATTTGAGGTACTCGACGTTGCATCTACCTCCATGATACACTAAATTCAAGTCATTGTAATTGCACTTTTTCCAAAAACACTTTTTTTGAAACACAGTTATTGACAATTTTTACACTTCACACCTACGTTCATGCGTTGTATTCACTAACAGTAATTTTAGTAAGGCTTGTCTACGGCAAGAGTATTTTCCCTCAAGCTCCTCCCTTTGAATGGACAGCCAATGAAAGGACAACTTTCAGTATTGTCATGCCAACAGCCCTTCACCACCGCCAATCGAAGCTCAATGAGGTGAATTTTAGAATAATAGCATCGTACTCTTAAAACATTAAGTATGCAATATTTGTATCTGTTATTATTATTGTCATTCTAATTTAATTTTTGTTTTTAGGGACGCTTTAGTCACTCGTTTAGTGATGTGTAATTATTTCTTTTTTTAAGTATTTTTTTTTATCTATTATAATAATTATTATTGATTAAAATTTTTACTATTTAATATGGAAACTGTTGCTTGTTAGTGCATAGACGGCGTTAATTGATTAAGAGTTATGAGGTCAAATAAATCAAATCACTAAAAACTACAAAAACTGAATGGCTGCAATTTATAGAAATTCTTGGGCATCGTCTGGAAGTTGGCTCATTTTTGCCTATCAAATGAACCGACACCTTTTAAGCGCCATAAATCTTGAGAAATTTATGGTCGCCCAATTATGAGCATAAAAATTCGGGGTTAGTATGGTACAATGTGCAAAAAATAAGGTTCGTTATTTAGGTAAATAACATAAATATGCGTGTCTATCAATAAGAAGCCATAATTTGTACCTAATCAAACTTTTACATCTAGAATACAGAATAAAAAATAATTTGTTTTATGTCTCAAAACCAATTATTATTATTGTTATTATTTTAATCGTTCTCGTTTAAATTTTAGCAATCAAGCAATATGAAAAAAAATATGAATTAAAATTGTAAATAAATATAAAAAATCTGATGTGAACATCACACGACTTTCCTTATTCTACTTATTTGGAAAACAACCTAATAACGACAATAATTTAGTGTAACATTTGCGTTAGTGCCACCTGCTTGATCACACGCGAAATAGAATATAGTCGCGGGTTGGAGTTTGGAGTGCAGTTTTTTTTAGTTCGGTACCCATTATTATTATTATTTTAACACATTTTACTGTTTAGTAAGGTATATTTCATGATTCTAAATAATTAATAAATTCTAAATAATTAATAAGGAAAGTACAAATTTAACTTGTGAACTATTAAAAAATTAATAATTGCCACCTTTTTTTATTCATTTTTTCTAATTTTATAATTTACAAAATCTTTTATCCTACGTAGTAGTTAATGGTGAAGTTTGTTACATATTTATATAACATTTATCGCTGTTTTATATTAAATTACAACATGCAATAGGGTTGACAACATTAAAAAACATTGTCAACTATTCATTTTGTGCTTCACACGCTCAACCAACGAGAGTTCTTCGCCTGAAGAAGATATAATTAAAGTATCGAAACGTCGCGACGAATTAATGTTGTATTTCCCTGTGTCCTATAAACCATTTTCTACGCCATCAGGCTATTGACAACTATATTTTTTGTCTCTATAGCCTATATTATTCAGTGTTACCAACTTAATTTCAAAGTTACAGGCTACCTATTTTTATCAGAATTTTAAACGAATGCATAAACTTATTTTATTCGAATCTTTTTGTTACTTTTTGTTATTTTGAAAAATGTTTATTTTAACTTCTCAATATTTAAAATTATTTATGAAAAATTTGTTTTACAATTTTGTCGACATATGATGTTACCATAAATTTTACGATTCAGCAGTAATAAATATTTATTTTTACACCTACTTACAGTATCTAAAATTATTTAAATTTTTCAAAATTATTTATCTTGCAAAAAATTTACGTTTGCAGATATGACAATACTGTATAAAAGGTGTCGTCATGGTAAAAAAGTTTATTCCTTAGGAAACTGTTCCTAAGGTTTCAAGAATGATTAAATTTTACTGTTATTTAATTAAATATTAGACATCGTTGCCACATCCATTTTTTTAGGTTTTTTCCTAATAATTTTAATAGATATACAAGTCCGCCAGAACTCGGGCCCGAGAGAAAAATGACATAAAAGGTAAAATACCAGGAACATGGAAAAAAAAAATATCTATAAAAATTTTGAAGTTATGAGTGAGTGTTTAAATTTTACACTTTGACTCTATTTATTTCTGTTGGAAAATTAATTTTTCAAGTTTTTTTACTATAGGCTATTAAAAGAAGAAACAAGGAAACTGTTATTTGTGGCTTTTGTTGGCAAAATTTTTGTACTTTTACTAAATAATTGTATATACAAGATCATCAGTATCATTAAATAGACATAAAAAATGTCAAAAAATAAATGTCAAATTTTTTTGACAGAGAATTTTTTAAACATTTTTTCCATGTTCCTGGTATCTTACCTCACTTAAAAATTTTCTCAGGGGCGCGAGTTCTGGCGCACCCTATATAAGATTTTAATTATTTTTATCTTTATAGGAAAGCATTTCTCTACCATCACCTTTAAAAATGAGTTTGTGCGCCATTTTTTGAGTATTCTGTGTATAGAAATACATAAAACTAAATTACAATCGTGAGAATTAAAATTTAAGTTAAATATCAATTTATTATGTAATATCCAGAGTGAACAAAGAGCAAAGAATTTAACTTTTTAAACTCAAACTTTTTGAAACCTGGTGTAAAAATTAATTGAAACTAATAGCAGCATTTTTGTTTTTAGTTCTGTAATTTTTTTTAATGAAAACCAACCATGCATTTTTTGGTAATGAGACTATGATTTAACAATCACAACGAAACAAAAATTTTTTTTTTCTAAAAAAATTTTCATGGTAGGTAGGCTATTTTTAAAAAAAATCCTGGATTTAAGAAGAAAAAAGATCATATTTTTTATATATTATAGAATTGTATCTTTCACCAACAATTTTTTTCTGAAAACAACTAGTTTAGCCGTAAAACGTTTGGTTTTTATTTGTTGTTCACCTTTCAAATTAAATTTAAAGCCACCTTTAGCTTTAAAGCTTTTTTATTAAAAAATAAGGTACTGTTTGTGTGTTTTACAAGATAAGAAAGTTTTAAGAACATGTCCGGATTATACGTTTTTAACTACATGAAAGTCAGCAGATTATTCCATATTTTGCTTACTATTAAATCCTAACATCCGAAGTCAATTCAGCATGTTCTCACGGTATAAAAATTATTGTAGTAAATAAAAATTTGTTGCAAACTGCAACAACCGGAAACTCAGCACAATAAATTAACCAACGTGGAAAATCAACACTTTATTATTATTGTTATTTACATATTACCGAATCACAATCGATGCAAAAAATTATTTATAATTTGATTCGATTTTTGATGGCTAACGAGTCCGCAAAAATAATGAAGTGTAATTGCACATTAAATCTGTTAATATTATGTGATTTATTGGTATTAGGGCCGGGAATCATGTTACATCTGTCCTATAATTAACTCCATCGGGAGTAGCAATCATTTCAATTAGACGCACTCCCCATAATACACAGGGATGTTAACTGAACAACACACCCTTTACGCCTCGTTCAAATCGCGGTTGCCATGGAATATCACAGGTGCTTGTGATTGAACTACGTCTAAATAATCTGTGATAGGTACGCTAACTATGCCGAGGACCATTCATGTAGCAAATGGAATTAATTTTGTGAACAATTTGTTGCATAAAATGAACAGTTATTTTTTTGTAACGGGTAAAAAATTGAGAAAAACAAACGTAAAATTTGCAGCTTTTGGGAAAGGAAAATAAGATTGATGTGGTAAGGAACTGAGGTGCAGAAACCCTATTCTTTATCAGCCGCAGACGCCAGTTAGGATGTTACAAGATCTCTACATATGTAAGGTGTAAGGTAACTCTACTTCATTACCTGCGTGCCGTCATATCATATTATTACAAAAAAATGCAACTACCACTAAATTTTCATCTAGTCGGAGGAACATTTCCTGCAATCTGATATACGTTTCCAGTTATGACAGCCACACCAAAAATCTTTTTTTTCTTTATTTTAGCATGTATAGCCAAATAATAATAATTGGAGTCTTGTCTATTTTATTTAAAAGAAATTAAAAATTAAATTAAGAAAAATAAACATGGAATTTATTTTAGTGAAAACTCAGTTATGTGATCGACAAGCGCAGCATTGAGGTTTTAAATGAACCCTGAAGGTGTAATGATAATGAAATTTCCACCAAAATTTGTATCTCATTTTATACACAGTCACATTTAGTTTACATAATAAAATATCTGTTTTTCTAATAAAGTCGAAATTCAAATTTCTTTAATTTCAGCAGCATTCCGATAAAATCTTAAATCTAGTGAAGAAAAAAATTCAACGTTGAATCGTTGCACAAAAATGTTACATTTTACAACTAGTAAGTGGCGTGTTTTTTGTATTTTTTTTCCTATTCAAATATTTTGCTTTATTGGTTATCAATGCTCTAAATCTGAAATTATGATGAGCAAAAATCTTAGGTGGATTATTGTGTATTATAATTATTTGAATAACTCAAGAGTGATGGTGAGTTTAGTTTGAATTGAAAGCAAAACATTGTTATTTGTGGGAAATGTAAGATCTTAAAAATTAGATACATTATTTTAAAACAAATTATTAAATTTTTTTTTTAATTAAAAATTCAGTACACTCTCAATAGTCCGACCTCTCGTAGTCACTTGATGACAATATATTCATCTGTATTATTATTAAGTACTACATACTATCCTATACAGTGTGTTAAAAAATGGTATGTATGTTATTTTCTTAGCATCAAATTTTTCATTTAATTTTCAATAAAAAAACAATATTATTTCATGTTTTTAGTATTTTACACTGCAGAATATAATCTGGTATTCCGGATGCTACTCTAATCTGTCACTACCTAATGATTATTGAGATTGTACTGTATTTTTATTAATTCACTTTTAAAATCAAAATAAATTTTGTATTTATCATCGTTTCCTCGTTGTCTTTACAAAATCATCTATCTCTTCTTAAATGAATTTCAAAACAACATCTGATAGAAGCC